GCTTTGCTGGGCTCCCAGGGCAGGCAATGAGGGTGGCAGCTTGGGTGTGAGGAGGCTGGAGATGCTTCCGCTCTGCGTTGGGGCAGGGGCAGGGGCAGGGTGGGGGTGGGGGCGGCACTGCCCTGGGCAGGGTAGTGGAGAGGTGGCTACAGAAGAGTGTGGCACTCGTCCTGAGGAACGGGCCAGCCCCCTGCAGACGGCCTGACTTTGAAGCGCAAGGTTAAAGTATTGATTTTGGTGAGCGGGGAGACAGTGACCAGAGACCCAATCGGGAAAAACCGAATTAAACCCTGGAATTGATTGGCCGAGCTGACCAGAGCGACTCTGCCACTTAGATGCTAATAAATCAAATGAATAAAATTAGGATGAGGACCCGACGCGGGAAGCAGATGGCAGAGGAGTGAGGAGAGTGGGTCATCCCTGCTCCAGGCCGTGAGGGCAGGGTCCCAGCCCCTGACCAGGTGGGACTGGGCTCTGGGAAAGCCTGGACACCTGGGGGGCCAGCAGGGGAGGGCTGAGGTGGCAGAGGGATCGTGGCCACACTGCTGTGACCACCAGTGTCCATGCAGTCTCTGTTCGGGGTCCCTACAGAGTTGAGCCTGTGCTGTCACGTGCCCCTTTCTGGTGAAGGGAAGCATGTAGAATCTGTGGCGAGAAGACTTTGGGTCATCCTAATCCCATGTCCCCTCCAGCTAGCCTGTGACGTTGGGAAGTCTCCATGCCTACTTCCACCTCCGAAAAGTGGGGAAAGGCATCACGAGGTTTGTTGGAAGTCCAAGAGAGCGATTCCAGGGGTGAGCTCTGAGGACCGTGGTGTTCAGGCCCCTCTGTTGCTGCTGAGGACTGGCCTTGCAGGAGCTGGCCACCCCAGATGTGAGGCCGCATCAGACCCCTGGGAGTGGAGTGTAGAGACCAGAGTCTCCTGGGTCCTGGCTCCTAGGCTCTGACTCCTAGGCAGAGCCCAGGAACCTGATTTCTCCATAACCTTTTTCTCATGATTTGAAGTTACTCAGGTCTCTTGCCACCCCGGGTTTTGGTGACTTTTAACCGTCATTTCTCAGTGGGTCCAAAAGACTTCAGGGAGAAGCCCACGCTAGTGGTTTTGGGTTACTGACTCCAGCCTCAGTGACAAGCCCCTCGTAGCCGGACCCAGTGGAGACACGGTTGCTCCCCATCTCAGGGTCTGAGCTGTCTTACCCTGGTATGCCTGCGCACCCATCCTCCCTCAGAGTCTCCAGTGGGTCCCTCTCCTGCAGGAAGCCTTCCCTGATTTCAGGGCCCATCCTGACTCCCCTCTTCTCTAAACCTCCTGTGCACCAATGGGCCACTCCAAACCCAAACCACGCTTCCTGGTTCTCCCAGCCTGGCCAGTGTGAGGAGCTCTGGAATGTTCTAGAACTCTGGAAACACTCTGAATGGAGCCTGAACTACCCGGTGCTGCTATCCCAGCCGCCCTGACAGCTGGATGGGGGCTCAGGGAGGGAACTAAACGGGGTTTGGAGATTCCTGGGGCTGTTGCAATCCCAGGGCGGAGGCCCTCTGGTGATGTTCTGTTGAGCTCATCTGAGGCATTCCAGAAACAGCCCCCCATACCCACTCCAGTGTCCTTTTAGGGAGACCTCCCAGCTGGGCTGATTCATGCTTCCATGTCCATTATGCCCTTCCACCATAAAACCTGTGCGAAGACCTCCCCTGGATTGTCAAGCCCGGCTCTACAAGATTCATCTGACCCCTCGATTGCATGTTGGCAAATGAGCAGCATTAAACTACCTAGCCATGAAGCCAGGGGCACAGACTTCAGGTTGGAGACTGGGGGCTGGGACAACGTCTGGTTGCCAGGCTTACTCAGCCCAGGGCCCTCTGTAGTGGTTATGTGTTGGGCCGTTAATGGCAAGGTTAGCAGTTCAAAACCACCAGCTGCTCCATGGGAGAAAGATGAGGCTTTCTCCTCCTGTAAAGAGTTAGTCTTGGAAACCACGGGGCCCTTCTCTCCTGTTCAGTGGGGTCACTTGGAGTCAGCATTGACTGGCTGACGGTGGGTTTGGAGTTTCTTGTTTTCTGTTACGTTTAGCAGCATGGCGGGTTGCTAACTGGAAGGCCAGTAATTCAAGACCATAAGCCATTGTGTGGGAGGAGGAGGAGGCTCTCTGCTCCCAGAAACCACAGGGGCAGCACTACTCTGTTCTTCGGGTTGCTCTGAGTTGGCATTGACTCGGCGGCAGTGAGTTTGGGTTGCATTTGAAGGGACTCAGAATCCTGGGGTACCCACCTGTGTCAGATGAAACCGGGGACCCCACACGCATCAGATGTCACTGGGCTCCTTAGGGTTTTTAGTAACCCATTTTTCCAGAGGTCACGAGGTCTAAGTTGCCTCTAGGTGGGCTCAAACCGCCAACCTTTCAGCCGGCACTCTGATTTGTCCTACCCCGGGCGGGGCTCCAGCTAATGCTGGGGTGAAGGCTCGTAAGCACGCACTGGGCACTGGGCACTATGTGGAGCATTCGGTTTGTCATGTTTTGCTTTATTCTTCCACCGCCTCTGAGAGCTTGGTACTATTGCCACCCTCCTTTAATCCAGGTCACAATTAGGGGTAGTCAGGTGATATTTATGACAGACTCACAGGCACGGAAACGGAGACCGTCACGATTGAGAGCTAACAGGTCCCGGGCCCATCCTTGCCTCCGCGTATTTGGACTGCAGAGCCGGCCCAGCCCACTGCCCCAGTGATTCTGACTCAGCGAGCCTGTGCCGGGGTTCCGAGACTGCCGGTCCTAACTCAGCACCCGGCCTCCTCTTCTTCCTGAGGAGGGGGTTTGAACAGCAACCCCCGCAGTTAGCAGCCCGGTGCCTAACCCGCAGTGCCACCAGGGGTCCTTGCTTCCAGGGGGTGCTTACCAGAGTCATGCATAAAAGAGCAGCAAGCCGGTGGCTGCGGAGTCGATTCCGACTCACGGAGGCCCATGTGTGCCAGAGCAGACCGGCCCCAGCGGTTTCGTGGCTGTCCTCTTTATAGAAGCAGGTTGCCAGCCCTTTCCTCTGAGGCACTGCTGAGCGCACCCAGTCCGCCAGCCTTTAGGTTAGTAGTCGAGTGCAGACCACCTAAGCCACCCAAGGACACTTCCGGTACTAGGCAGAATCAGGGACCCATGGGGAAGCGGAGGGTAGGCCTTAAGGTACTTGGAAGAGTCCTAGAATTCCAGAGTGGGACGAGGCCCTTGGGAGGCAGGGGGTGGGTCTTGAGCTGCCTCTTTCCCCAAGAGACAAAGCAGGGGTCTGGGCCATGCTCATGGGATATCTGCCAGCTAATGGGTGCTCCCCGAGGGCCCCTCCTTCCTTATATCCTGGGCGCTTCAAAGAAACCCTACGTACCCTGTGACCAGCCTCCTCTTTCTGGGAGGTATCTGAGAGATTGACTCTTTAGGTATCTGAGAGATTGTTGACGACCCACCTGGGGATGAGTCCTGCCTCCCCACCCACAATACACACCCCCATCTCCCCCACCAGGAAATAAGCAGAGTTTCCTCAGGCGAAGCAGACAGGTTTTTATAGCCTAGACTCACCGATCTGGCCCAGGCAGTGAGCCTTCTGGGGAAAGTGCTGCCAACCTACATACAAATTAATTTCTGGAACCCCAGCTGAGGTCCCTGCTGCAGCCGGAGCAGGAAGTGGGGGCCCTAGCGACAGCAGCGAGGCTCTGATGCTGTTTCTTGTAGCCCCTGCAGGGACAGGCAGGTAGAAAGGCCTGTGCTTCTCTAAGCATCCACACGCTGCCCCAGGTTTACCCCTAGCAGGCAGGATAAAGAAGTATCACTTTATATCAGGAGTTCTGAGGGCACAGCCTCTGTGGACACCCCGCCCCCCATGACCCTACAGCAGAATGGGATTGAAGGCCTCTGGGTGACCGTGGGGGCCACTCCCCTCTGCATGATGCTTCGCCTTCTGTGACTCGAGGGGGCAACTCCAGGTACCCGATGGGACGTGTTAGGATGAAAGGGGTGCTGTTCGGAAGCACCCTGAGTACGTAGGGACAGTGCCGTGCCAGCTGAGAGGCCTGGGCCTTAACTTCGTCATCCGAACAAGGGGACCATGAATTCCCCACAATTGCTGCAAAGCTCAGTTCTTTGCCGGGGCTTTACAAACCATAAAGATCTGAGTGAGCGAAGTCTAGTCAAGCTTGACTCAGCCTTCCAGACCACGCACAGCAAGCCTACGCTCTCCCGTGTCCGCTCTCTGTTCAATGAACTTGAGGTTCAGAAGTGAGCTGGGACAGTGTCCTGAGTCCCACGCGGGGCCCGGGAGGCCGGACTGCCCTACTTGCCCTCCTCCTGGGAGCATGAGGAGGACAGTAGGGGTGGCCGGAGCCCCTGGTCACTTGGCTGTGGAGACTGGCTCCCTGAGGGGGGGTGGCCCCATCTCAATGTCAGCTACGCTTTCCAGGGCTGACATTCTCCTGGTTCTTCCTGCTGTCGCAGCTATGCGGTGACGGTCCAGGAGTCGTATGCACACCCCTTTGACCAGATCTACTACACGCGGTGCACGGACATCCTCAACTGGTTCAAGTGCACCCGGCACCGGTGAGTACTTCTTCCTGCAGGCGGCGGCGGGACCCCAGGGCTGCAGCCGGGGTGCACCTGGTGCATTTCCATAATTGAGAAAAGGCCCTGCAGCAGCGTGTTCTACTCCTTGGCACTACTGAGCTCACGGATCTCCAGTGAATCTCGTGAAAGCTTGCTTTCTGGCTGTAGGAGGCTGTGGGCTATGCCAGGCTGGAGCGCCAGTGCCCCGGGAGGCGGCCTCCAGCCAGTGACAGGTGGGGAGTTGATGCTAAGCACTCCAGCCTCCTCACTGAGGGCAGAGGGGGCAGCTAGGAGGGTGGGTCACACACTCTACAGCACTGCGGGGGGGCTGGAACACCAGTGCTCAAACACACTCTTCACTCTCCTTTCTCACATCCTAACCCTCCCAGCAGCGCTTCCTGGGATGACCGCCACCCAGTTGAACTGCTTGCCCTTGGGTCTGGACCTCAGAATCTGTTTCAGAGGCAAAGCCAACCCAAGACAGCTCCTCCCCCACTGGGGGAGGAGGGCAGCCCTCTGAGGAGGCATCTGGCTTGGGAAGCACAGTACCGATTTGCTTTCAGCAAGCTGCTGACACCTGGGCTGTGAGCATTGCTTGTGCTCAAGGTGAACGTGTACACGTCCTTCTGGGCCCTGTCCTGTGGGCTCCTGCCCTGCCAACCATTGTCATGCTCCCCAGCCGGGCCCTGTCTTCCTGTGCTGGGAGAGAAGAGAAGGAGGACGAGAACTTGGCTTTGCTGAATGACCTTGGAAGAGCTATTTTACTGGCACTCCTCAAACAGATACAATGACCTTTGCTCCACCTACCCTGCAGGGGCTGTGAGTGTTAGGAAGTTGCTGGGCAGCTCTGCGTTCAGAATTCTCTTTCCTCTTGTGAGCCCAGTGCTTCTTTGGGTTCAGGCAAGAGTCACGGCGGACAATGTGAATGGGAGGATTGAAAAGGCCACAAACTGGTCTTCATTGGAATTTTTCTACCAACTTGCTATCAGTAGCGAAACTGTGGAAGCTATAGACGTCAAAGCAGCCCTAGGATCTGGAGCCGCGAAGGTGAGATGAACCACTGCAGGGAATCCCTCCACCTCAAACCAAAATCACCCTCTCCAAACCCAACCCAGCGTAACTGGTGACAGATTCTTGCCTTGAGCATTATGCTCTTTCCAGAAAAAACGATTTAGACGGGGGTCTTCAGGAGGATGCTTTCTGCTCTCAGAAAGATCGACAGTCCCAGAAGCCCACGGGAGCAGTGCGTCTCTGCCCATAGGCTCGCCATGCGTCAGAGGACCCTCTGGCAGTGAGAACGGCTACAGTTTGACGAATGTCGTCGATGTCCCTGTGGGTGTCAGAGGCCATCAAGTTGGTTCCACATCTCAGAACAGCGCAGCTCAGTCCTGCAGCAGCCTCACACGGTTCGAACCACTGTGTCGCTCCGTCTTGTAGAGGGTCGTCCTCTTTTTTCGCTGCCCTTCTGTTCCGGCGTAGCGACAGCAGCTTCTTTCAAATCGTTGTCTCTCATCCCCTTACGGAAGGGCCGTGGGGAGGAGACGAGCCAGTCAGGATGCAGTGCAGCAACGATGAAACATACAACTTTCCTCTAGTTCCTGAATGCTCCCCTCTCCCCACTATCATGATCCCAATTCTACCTTGCAAATCCAGCTAGACCAGAGGATGTACACTGGAAACACAGGGAATCCAGGGAGGATGATCCCTTCAGGATCAGTGGTGTGAGTGGTGATACTGGGAGGGTGGAGGGAGGGTGGGGTGGAAAGGGGGAACCGATTACAAGGATCTACATATAACCTCCTCCCTAGGGGACGGACAACAGAAAAGTGGGTGAAGGGAGACATCGGACAGCGTAAGACATGACAAAATAATAATAATTTATAAATTATCAAGGGATTGTGAGGGAGGAGGGTGGGGAGGCAGGGATAAAAATGAGGAGCTGATACCAAGGACTCAAGTAGAAAGCAAATGTTTTGAGACTGATGATGGCAACACATGTACAAATGTGCTTGACACAATGGATGGATATATGGATTGTGATAAGAGTCGTACGAGCCCCCAATAATGATAAGAAAAAACAACTCTTGGGCAGCACAAAATAAATAAATAAAATCTTTGTCTGCTAATTCCAACATTGGATCATCTCAGGGCCAAGTCCGGTACTTTCAGCCTTAGCTGGCTGTGTGGAGTTTGCCTCCTGTGGGAAATTGGGAGGTTTTCTTCTTCCTTTTGTAGCTGCTGGGTTCCCCCGGGACTTGCCTATGGTTCTTCTTAGATTGTTTCTGAAATTTAAGTCAAAGGAGACCCAACTCACTGCTCTGGACTTGATTCTGGCTCATGGGGACTATAGGAAAGAGCGCCCGTGGGCTTCCGAGGCTGTAAATCCTTCTCTCTGGGAATCGTTACTGGTTTCAAACTGCTGATCTTGAGGTTAGCAGCCCATGCATAACCATTTAGCTACTCAGAACCTTGTTGACTGGGACCTCCCTCTCTTCAGGTTAAACCCATCTAGTGCCAGTTCCTTCTTCCAAGTGCCCACTTCCCTCCAGTCACTGCCTGATTTTGCTCTCTCACTAGTGCCTTCAGTGGGCATCCCATCATTTCCTCGGGCCTTGTTTTTGACTGACGCTGTCAGTGCAGCTTGGCCTCTTCCTTCAGTACCATTGGTCCTCGCTCATCTGCTACCTCCTGAAATGGTCGAGTTGACTCGTTCTTTCGAGTGTAGTGACTGTGTATTCTGTCCAGTTTTGTTGGGTGCTTCCTGCATCGTTCAATATTTTGCTCATTGAATCTTCCACCATTGCAACTGGAGGCTTGCGTTTTCTCTTGGATTCCTTCTGTCTAAGATACGCTGCGTGCGTTCTTCCTTTTTGTTTTTCTAGCTCTAGGCCTGTGCACATTTCATTATACTATTTGACTTTGTCTTCTCGAGCTGCCCTTTGATATTTTCTGCTCAGCTCTTTGATGTCCTCATTTCTCCCATATGCTTTGCTGCTCTATGATAAACAGCAAGTTTCAGAGCCTTCTGACATCCATTTTGATCTTTTCTTTTTTGTCTTTTTTTTAATAATCATTTTATTAGGGCCTCATACAACTCTTCACAATCCATGCATACATCATTTGTGTCCAGCACATGAGTACATGTGTTCCATCATCATTCTCACAACACCTGCTTTCTCCCTGAGCCCTTAGTGTCAGCTCCTTATTTTTCCCCTCCCTCCCTACTCCCCCCTCCCCCTGAGCCCTTCATAATTTATAAATTATTATTATTTTATCATACCTTACACCATCCGACGTCTCCCTCGCCCACTTCTCTGCTGTCCGTCCCCCAGGGAGGAGGTTATATGTAGACCTTGTGATCTGTTCCCCTTTCTCCCTCACCTTCCCTCCACCCTCCTGATATTGCCACTCTCTCCACTGATCCTGAGGGGTTCATCTGTCCTGGATTCCCTGTATTTCCAGTTCCTATCTGTGCCAGTGTACATCCTCCGGTCCAGCTGGATATGTAAGGTAGAATTGGGATCATGATAGTGGGGGAGAGGAAGCATTTAAGAACTAGAGAAAAATGGTATATTTCATCATTGCTACACTGCACTCTGATTGGCTCATCTCCTCCCCGCAGCCCTTCTGCACAGAGATGTCCAATTTACCCCTGGTGGACCCTGGGTCCCCACTCTGCACTCCCCCTCATTCACAATGGTATGATTATTTTTGGTCTTTGATGCCTGATCCCTGATCCCTTCGACGCCTTGTCATCTTACAGGCTGGTGTGCTTCTTCCATGTGGGCTGTGCTGCTTCCTTTCTTGTCTGTTTCATGACCTTATCCTTTCTTCGTGGATGGCGTCCTTGGTTTCCTCCACAGTTCATCAGGTCTCCTGTCCTCAGGGTTCCATGCATCAGGTCTTGAGATGTTCTCAACATTCAGGTGGGATAGACTCAAGGTCATAGTTTGGCTCTTGTGGACTGTTCTACTGTTCTTCAGCTTCAACCTGAACTTACAAATCAACAGTTGATGGTCTGTTCCACACTTGGCCCCGGCCTGGTTTTCACTGCTGACATTGAGCTTTCCTGTCGTCTCTTCCCACAGATGCGGTCACTTTGATTTCTGTGTCTTCCATCTGGGGACGTCCATGTGTATGGTTGCTGTTTGTGCTGTTGAAATTTTTTAAAAAGGTATTTCCTATGAATAAATCATGAGTCTCACAAAATTTTATCATTCAACCTCCAGCTTTGTTTCTATCACCAAGACCATATGTGTTAGTCTGGGTTGACTAGAGAAACAAATCCATGGACACTCTCATATGTATATAAGAGAGAGTTTTAAATTTAGGGCAATTGTACATTAAGAAAGCATCCCAACCCAGTCCAGTCTAAGCCCATAAGTCCGATATTAGCCCATACGTCCGATACCAATCTATAAAGCCCTCTTCAGACTCACAAAACACATGCAATGATGCTGAATGCAGGTCAGTCACAGGCCAGTGGTAGAACGTCTTTGGATCCAGTGGTGCTGTAAGCATCGCAGCGCTGGCAGGGGTCTCTCCGTGGCTTTTCCGGCTCCAGAGGTCAGGTTGCATCAGGGTAGGTCCACGTGGCTTCTCCAGCTCAGGGCACCAGCATAGTTCCATGTGTCAGCTGCAGTGTCTCCCACAGAGTGAGCAGAGAGAGAGAGACGTGTCTCCTGTCTCCAAAGAGGAAAATACAGATTTCCCAGAATTCTCAGGAGCTGGCCAGGCCCACACAGAGGCCTCATTGGCTATGACCCTATTGGCAGACTAGACTCCTCCCCTTCACTCTTAATCCTCAAATTGACAAACTATTATATAACCACCATACCATATTTTCTCCTTCCTCTTGGTTTCTAACTTTTGCATTCCAATTGGCAATAATTATCAGTGCATCTACATTGCATGTTTGGTCCAGTTCAGACTGAAGACATTGGTGGAATTCTTCAATTTCTTCATCTCTAGCGTCTGTGGCAGGTGCCTACATTGGAATAATTGTTGTATGGATCAGATTACCTTGACTAGATATCTTCCTACCACATACTGCATTGCATTTAAGAATTAATCTTGAAATGTCCTTTTTGACTGAGTGTGAATGTGTCATTCCTGTGTAGCAAACCCTTCGATTTTCTGAGTCCACGTGGCCAAGATCAGTCCGTTTCAGCTCACTGACCCCTCAGATGCGAGCTTTATGGGGCTTGTTTCAATTTTTTT